GGGGGGGGGGGGGTCCTTCTCCCTGAGAGTCTCTCAGGGTATGCTGTAAAAAATGCCGCTCCCTGCCCGGACGAGCTCTTTATCTCCCGCTGACATTATGTGTGCGTACATTTTGCTCACATGTCTTTTTCATGTCTTTTTCCTGGTTATCCAATGGCGATCCTAGGATTTTGTAAAGTGGGAGGACAAGAGAGGGGCCATAATTCATACAGGGAGGCCAGCCCTCTCATTAACCAATGATATGTTTTGAATCGGTGAGTGACAGGGGAGGGGCAATATGAGGGCCAATCAGTTTTCAGTTCTACCCCAGTATACGCCCCTGCGGTTTACATGGCATTTTGGGTCGTGCTAGGCTGAAAGCGACGTTTGAAGCCAAGGGTGAGCTTGTAACCTCAATAGTGCTGGTTTTGGAAGGTTCTAGAAGGGCCCCTGATTATGCAGTTCAAACTTTCCTTATCTTCTTGTTCAGTACAGGGTCACGTTGAGCCTGAATCATATTCCAGGAAGTAGAGAGAGACACCGTGGAGCGGACGGCACTACATTACAGGGAAGCCACACTCACGACACACTATGGACAGCTTAAAGACAGCGATTTGTCTGAATGCATGTCTCTGAACTGCCATGTCTTTGGAAACCAAAATATATACAGTAGTACCAGGCTGTAAAACAGTAAGTTACTTTGGATAAGTGCACCAGAGAAGGATCTACATCTAAAAGTAAAACCCCACGACTGCTAGTTCCATATTGCAGGACATTAATAAGCAAATGACGGATTTGTCATTGTCGCCTTCGGAAAAGCTCCAAGGAAACAAAGCTAATCCCTAAAACTTGGGGAGGAGAACATAAATCCGGCTCAAAATTATTAGCAAAAAATGTGTGTGGCTCTGACATAACGATACAGATTAATTATGTTTAAAATGTCCAGTAGCTTCCTGTGTTCGGTGTCCAGACATTTACAGTGTTATTGTTGGTAGTAGTTTGTAAATGGCCAAAGTTTTATACACATTAATCACCCCCCCCTCATGGAGCCTTGGATTTTTTTTTTTCGTGTCAAAAGAAACTCAGCCTAGCTGCACTTATGCCTAGTTGCTTCCTTGACAGTATGAATGTTTGCAATGTGCTATTTGCCTCACTTGCATGTCACTTTGGACAAAAGTGTCTGCTTAACTTGTAAATACAAATGTGAACAATTTACTCGTGACATAAATAAAAATTCATGCACAAGATTGTCTCATGATTTATACAGATCTGGCTGAATGATCAAGTAACAGGTTGAAAAGTGGGTGTTCTTACCCCGGTGACATATCGGGGCCTGAATTGGACCGTGCCGAACAGGCCCAGGATCACAGCGATGATGTGTACGAAGTTCGTGAGGATCGGCGCCCACTGGTACCCGAGGAAGTCAAAAATCTGCCGTTCCAATATACTGATCTGTAAAAGCAAAAAAGAGCGGAGACAGGGTGTTTCAGACTGGGTGTTTCAGACTGGGTGTTCCAGACTGGGTGTTTCAGACTGGGTGTTTCAGACTGGGTCTTTCAGACTGGGTGTTTCAGACTGGGTGTTCCAGACTGGGTGTTCCAGACTCGGTGTTCCAGACTGCGTGTTCTTTTAGCCTCAGCGCCACCAGGAACACAACGGCATGTATGCTAGGCCTAAAACACATTTCACATGCTTCTGTAGTGCAAAAATACACACAATAACCCGCAGAGCACTACACCACGTCTCTCACACACACACACACACACACATATATCAGAGATGGTGTACGACTCTGTGACTGTTAACAGAGGGTCAGTAGCTGAATCCTGTGGCTGACAGAGTGATATTGCTGTTGGGCCCTTGAGCGAAGTCCTTTCCTTCGAACCTTCTCCAGGGGCGCTAGGTAAATGACTGGTCCTATACTCTGACCCCAACTCTGCTTTCACCGGAGCCTGTGACTCTCTTAGGAGTGAAAGATGGATATTCGAAAACTGAAGAATTCCTACGTACCTGTATTATAAAATGGCAAAATAATGTATCATTATACTGTACATACATACTGTAAATGTAATCTTTTTGATTCACTGATATGTGAGTCATGCACAGATAAAGCAAACTGGATCAATAATGGCCTGCTTCCCTGTAGCCAATGGGTGGTCTCCGTGTAAGTCATATGGCACTTCGGAAGGTACCATTTCAAGGTTGTGTGGGGGGTACAGGCCTCGGGCCTTCTGTTCATAGTGCTGCTTAATTGGGAAGAAAGTCTCAAGTCTCTAGAGTCATTTTGGCAGCCTAAGGGCTGGGAGGAAATGAGAGTTGCCAAGCGTGGCCCACCCAATTCCACAGAGCCCGGTCCCTCACCACGTCGGTGTCGATACCGCGAGCAATGGCGTTTAAAGAGGCAGGGGAGAGGGAAAGATCATGCCCTCCCCATGCGTAATTACCATCAAGTCCGACTGGTGGAACAACCGAGACGAATAACCCCTGCTTCTCCACATGCGTGGTAGTGCTTAAAGCGCCGCTCGACGTGTAAGGGCGCAGATGGCTTGTAACGCCTCTTTCCAGGGGAGGAGCAGCCGGGAACGCCTCAGGCCATCCTGCGTCCTGGCGGCCCCCCAGCTGGCGTGACCTGCCGTGTTTTCACACCTCCAGGTTTGTGGGGTCGAGTCTCGGTACTGCGCCACGTGAGGCTGTACGTCCCCCTCGGCAGGGTCTGGCTTCTGTCCCGGGCGCACATACTGTAATTCAGGAGGGTGTGACTGTCCGGCAGTGAACTTCAATGCCCTGTAAGGTGTAGGATATGTAAGGGGAGGCGCTGTGGGTTGCTTGGGTGTCTCACACCTCCAGGGATGTGGGGACGTGTCTCTTCCTAAGTTTGCATGATCTCTGTGTGTTGCCTACTTTGGTGTCCTCCCACTGTCCAAAGACACATGGTTTGGCCAAACGGTGCCTTAGCATTCTCTATAGAGTGAGTGTGTGTGTGTGTGTATGTGTGTCATAGTGTGTTTGTCCTGTGCTGCCTGGGATAGGATCCAAGCCGCCCCCCCCCCTTACCCTGTGGCCATGACCAGAGCAAGTGGTTATAAGATGGATAGGGTTTGGATTACTGCAACTCTTTGTGGGTGAGGTTTAATTGGGGATTATTGGATAAGGATTGGCCAGTATAAGATAAAAAGTATTTTTAAAAAGAAATAAATGTGAAGCAGGATGTAATGTGCTGCCTGAAATCTGAAGATACATTGATCTGAGTGCATATTGTGAAACCAGGCCGATAACGAGTATTTCTGCTGCGCTTTACGGTTATTAGATATATCTCAGCAACAACGAGCAGCAGCTTGATTGCACAGCAGCAGATTCCTGGTTGCCGGCACATAAACATCTCCCACAAAACCAAATCGCTTCTCTAAACGCTGCTGCAGCCTTTATCTCGGCGGGTGTCGAATTTCACAGACCGACAGAAGCTCCCGGCGCGGATCAGGACGGCGGGGTCGGCGTCACGCCTCACTGGCTGCGCATCTGCCGGGGTCAGGTCCGCGGTGTCGATCAGACCGCGGAGCCGCGAGGCGGGATCACGTGACAGGTAAGGCTGCTGCCGCAGTCTCGTCCTCCCAGCTGTGTCCCTGACGGAATCATTCGGCTACAAAATGAAGGATACCGCACACTGGAAGACCCCCCCCCCCCCCCCTTCCGTGCGACCCGAGGCGCAGGTCTGGGCCTCGGAAGCAGCGTTTACGTGCTTTGCCGACAGAGGAAATGAGCCGACTTAATGAGCAGCTCTCAGCATTTTCCCGGACAGTCGAGGTGTTTCATAAAATAAAACGGAATAAAAAAGAGAGAAAATAAACAAAGGGAACACACATCTCCAAAAGCCAATTATGAAGCAGGGCAGAAGCTCCTGGGGGAGCCCTGTGGGGGGGGCCACATTCACCCTGCCGGGTCACTAGCAGGCCGTATGTGCATGTGCATGTGCGTAACTTTATAGCTACATGGTCGTGAAAACACATCTACATCTATAAAAAAATAAATAAAAAAAAATCCAGAAAATGCTCAGGGGCATAGCAAGAATTTTTGGTCCCCTAACAAAATGTCACACTGCCCCCCCCCCCGGGAAATTTTACCAAATGGGGGGGTCCCCTATAAAGTGCTGGGCCCTGAACCTGTCAGGGTATGTAGAGTATGTAGTGTATGCCCCTCTGACGCCCCTGGCAGTGTGGTCACCACACACCCATAGCGGCAGTGTCCTCATGTGCATTACTGTGAGTATCATTGCCAGGCTGATCGATGACGGATGCCCTCTGGGAACGACACGGCTCCCGTGTGTGGGAAGGCCCCGGGGGGGGGGATCGCACTCCAGGTTCCCAGCTTGATTGAAATAGCCCGAGAATCCTGAGGCCGTCCCATAGCTCAGACTGCCTCCCCCCCCCCCCCCGTTCGATAATGACGCCACCTGAGGGCACATTTCCCCGCATAAACAGGCAAGGTTCCCCGCGGCAGCTGCACACAAGGCGAATGGCTTATCCGCCGATTATCTTCCACGTGAGTAATCAACCCCATAAACTGGGAACAAAAGAAGTCTCTGCCGTGTCGAGAGGCGCCTTCTCCCACACAAAGGAACCAATGCCGGATGAATACTGAGCACGGAATTCTGTGCGGGAACGCCAGGAGCCCGGAGCACAGGACAGAACCGGAACATCGCGGCGTGATCTCATGGGGAGGCGTAATGGGCTGCATGGAAGCATGTGCAGGCTAAGCTGACTGGGCTTACTGGGCGGTGTGGTGTCACAATGGGTAAATTCCTTCAGGGTCAAGGGTTCGAATCCTGGTCGTTGTTCTAAGTGTGAGGGGTTTTCACGACCTTCCGTGAGCTGTGTAAGTTTGCTCTAGCTGCTCCAGATTCTGCCCCTATTGAAAACAGGCTGCCCATGAATTGGCCTGTGTGTGACTGGGTGTGTGACCCTGTATGAAATCGGCGAATATTGATGGTTGCATATATAATGTTTGCTACGCGACATGCAGTGGTCACATTGTAAAAATATTTCAGCGGGGATGATAAAATTTCTGAGCAGAGGGGACACCCCATGATAAAATACAATGATAAACTGTGTCTCGCCAATTGAGTACCCCTCCCTGACATACACCGTATATTTATCTCTATGTGAATGATGTTACACAGAACAATTTATGGGGGGGGGGAATTTTCAAAGGGGATGGTTTTTGTATTTTTTTTCCATGGGCTGGATCTATCCATGCGCACCCCCATGATAGATCACGCCTCCGTAACATTTACACCTCCACTACACTTAAGAGCCACAAAGCTATTGCTTAGTAGTCGTATGTCAAAAAGTATTACGAGTTAATTTTATTTGCAAATAATTTGAATTTGGTGTGCGTGATGCAATGTGATGAATAGTTTAATAGATAAAATAATGGTATTCGGCAGGGCTGTTGATCCAAAGCTACCACCTGCAAATATTAAATATATACTCAAAGTAGGAGCGCATCGGTGCCGTTGGTGACCCGGCTCTCAGCGAGAGTCTGCTTTATTAATGACTCCCAGTGAATATGAGATATAAATTTTCTCTACACAGGCTATCATTTAAATACACCTACAGTATGAGTGATCACATCGGTGAGTGCGTTACGCCCCTGTCCAGCTGCTGTACATCTCAAACTTGACAGCATTTTTAGAAAAATCTGGAACATGACAGCGCGTTTACGTCGTGAAGCTGTGCACGACTCCATACAGAATATTCATGTTTTTATAATTAGTGATAAAACTGAGATGGCTGTGGGCCCCCGGGGGTCTGGGAGGTGTTCATGTCGGCCGCAACCTTGCAGGTACCTTCTAAGCTGCACGACTTGCACAGCATGTAGCAAAGGGTTATTCAAATCACGGTCCTCGAGGTCCGAGCACTGCTGGTTTTCCAGCCTTCCTTTACCTGTCAGTCAGGTGTGAAACCTCTGACCAATCAGAATCAGTAATTATTAAACTAACTACCTGGGAGAACAGAAAACAAGGCCTGGATTTGGAATCGAGGTCCAGAAGAACCCTGATATAGCATATCGGCTAGTCTTGGGTTTCCTAATTCCGGTGCTGCAGGGCCAGTCTGCTCCACAGTTTGCTGATACGTGTCTGAGTGTTTGAGACACACATTGTGAACCAGGTGATTAGCTGGTGAGCTGAATGAGGTGGGATTCTGCAGAGAAACCTGCATACTGTGGTGCAGTCTGGCCCTCCAGGACCGGAACTGGGGAACCCTGGACTAGTCACTGTGTGAATATAGGGTCTAGTACAGGGGATCCCAAAGTGGAAGTTCCCACCCATGGGCGAGTCACCAGTCTGGGGTGGGGGATCCTGAGATGAACTTAGCGATACGGATATAAGATTTTTAAAGATGCGGAAAAATCTTCAATTTTAACAGTATAGACAAAGGGACCGCCGCCCCCATCGG